CCCTCTACCTCGACCACATGGCTCATTTGGGAGATTTATGTCGCAGCCGTGGTCTACAGTAAGCGCTGATGAATCGTCTCCAGTGCAGGAAGTTCTGTTCTTTGGCTCCAAGTACCGTTTCCGATTCCCTGGCTCCTCTGCTTCCTGCCCCCGTTCATCATGTCACGTAACAGGAGGAACATCTATGCTGCCACATGTCACACACATGTTCACTTTAATAATGTATGTCAATTAATACTGGTTGAAAATAATTAGCAACCCCTGATGTAAAAAAAAAAATTATAATTATAATGAACGACCGCCAGAGAGGGGAAAGACAAAAACCTGATATATTTTACCTTCCTGTCTTGTCAAACCAAGACAAGGTCATCCTATGACCATAAAGCCAGTGGTTCATCGAGTTGTGATACAGGAAGGACTTGTTTACGTTTCCAGCACTACCAACATACATCACGGGGGACACGGAATAACAAGCAGCGTGCGGAAAGTCTTCACTCACTGCCAATCATCACCCCTCAGCACACAAGCTTATAGGGAAAATCCATCACATTCTGGCAAAGCAAGCTCCGCTTCAGAGTCTCTGTTTAATATATCGAATTATTCATTCAATGCAATTGCTCGCATGTAAGATTTTCATTTTCCAAACATTATGTAATTAAAGTAACCCTGTGGGGCACATAATTATGCAGGCTACTTATACAAAACACCTGTGAATTTCAACATGCGAGCAACTTAATATGTTTAAAGAGAATAAAACCTGAAGTTTGCTCGATAATTGCCCTGCCAAAGGAAATGAATTATATAATTTTATATAAATCCCAGAATTTAAATCAAAGCTGAAGGGAAAAAAAAATATCAAAATTAGGGTGAATTGCAGTCTCAGTCATTTCAATTCAAGTTAATTTTGTATCATTTTGTCAACTGAGTTTTGGTTCAAGCATTTGAATCATGAATCTGGTATCAAGGTCTTCGCCTTTGCAATTGATCAGAAAGTCTGCTGTTGTCTTTCCTTTAATAAAAGCGAATATTCTTCTGAAAAATAGGAAAAGAAAGATTTGCATTTTCATCAGAATGGCACTGATCTGATTTTTAAAGGTGGAAAGAATGATATTGGTATGATATACACAGACACAATAAACACATATAGCAAGCAAAACAATATTTAGACATTTATAGACAGTAACAAAATGTAATAGATAATAAACAGTAACAGTGCAAAGAATGTCGGGGAAAGTATTGCACAGAATTCTACAGTAATCGCTCAGAAATAAATAGTATTACAGAGTGGGTTTTATAGTGAACAAATGAATGTTTTGTGAAGCAGTTCTGGTCCATTCAGACAGCTGCCCCCCCCCCACAGCCCCCGCCATGTCATGACATGATTGACACGGCAAGAAGGACAGAAAACATCATTTTCCGAACAGGAGAACAGCGTGAGTGACAAAGCGGCGGGACGCCGGGGACCAGGTGCCTTGGGGACCCAGCGGCTCGCCGGGGCCGTGGCAGAGACACCGCCAGCGTGGGGCGCGAGTGCAGCGGGTTCCAGCCGGGCCTTTATCGGGCTCATTAGCATATCAGCTGTAAGATCTCAGCCAGTGAAAAGGGGGCAGTCAGCCTTTTATTGGCACGTGCAATTAAAAGATGTCAAACCAAGTCTCTCTTACAATGTTTAGTCTTGCCTGTCAGTGCGTCAAACATTATCTAAAAGGGCCTCAATTACAAGAGGAACCGAATAGAGGCCCGAGTTTGGCAGTGCTTCCGAGGCCCCGGGGTCTCGCAGGGCGCAGAGACGGCCGCGGCGGCACAATGGGCCCAGAAACACGATAAGGGGGTAACCGGAGAGGCGGGGAGTGACACGGGTCCCTTTCACTGTCCTGGGAATCGAGAGAGCGCGACTCTGGGATTCCTCTGTGGCGGTGTCATGTTAACGAGCTCCTCCAGTGCGCCGGGGCGCCGGTCCAGGCTGCCGGCAAGTCTGAGCTGGAGGCTTCGAAGGCGCCATCAGGTAACTGTAGCTCAGGATGGTGCCAGCAGCTGTAATGGCAGCCCGCTCGCAACGGCAAGGCGTGGCGGCGGCGAGGGAAACCATGGCACGTCCGCCGCCTGTTCCAGCTGCTCACCAACACTGGGCTTACATTTATTCTGTGACCGAACAGAGCAACAAGTTATAACACATCTCTCACTAAAACATCTGGGGAGGTGTCGACCAAATGGACACTCGGGAAGTCTCACAGAGATGGGGGGGGGGGGGAATAACACTCTGGCCACCAGGATGAAACATGGAATCTCTGTAATTCTGAGCCCCAGCTCTGATGGTCCCCAAAGCAGCGTGACACTGGGGAAATGTTTGTTACTGTGAGGGGAGAGCAAACATGCTGAATAAATCCTTTCTCAGGATGTCAGTGCGCTGGGCTGAGAGAAAAATGCATCAAAAAATGGAGCAAACTGAATATAACTAGTTATTTTCTATAGCATAATTTTCCTTTGACCAACCCCTAAATAATACAAGACAAAAATGCTGAAGTTGACATAAGAGGTGGAAAGTTCAGGTTGAGCAAGTACAAATCCAGACCAAAATTTTGTTTCAACCAACCAGTTGAGCATAAAGAGTCACATTCACAGAGTACTCAGTTGGTTGGTTGAAACAAAATCATGGTCTGGATTTGTTCTTTCTGAACCAGAACTTTCTACCTCTGGCTGACAGGCCCAGCTATGTTACTCAGATATTTCCAGGAGGGAAACTCAAGATTTGAAAATGATTGGACAGGAATGGACTCCAGAGGGAGTTGGGCGTGTGATTGGCTATGAGCTGCCACATCCCTCCTTGTGATGTGGAAAGGTGACAGCGGGGCTTGGAAGGTCCATTCTATCAGGAAGTTCGTCTTTCAGCCAAAATGTGGACGTTTATCCAGCAGAGACGCGTCGCGCCATATCATGACATCAGATGGCATGCTCGGCATCCGGCACTTTCTCCCTGAGCGTCGATAACCTCGTGTGGCGCTTAGCAAATCCACGGTAATGAGTATCATCCGATTTATCACTTTACGGCCGAGCCGCTGGGTTTCATTTTAATGTTGGGGAGAAGAGGGAATATGAAAATTAACCTCAATACCCTGATCCACCCCCCCCCACCCTTGGAAATGTGCAACAGCTTTCACAGATGGCCATTAAAATAAGTCCTCAGAGTGGAGGCTATGCCATCACAGAGAGGTTTTAAATTGAAAGGCATAGCACTGCTCATTAGCCTAACACTCAACATCCGCAATCAGGCAGGAGAAGTCACGTCAGCCACAAGGGGGAGCCCAAAATGAGCCACGGCTGGCAAACTGATTTGATTCAACACGACATATCAAAGCGAATTGATAGCTATATCCCCAACGCTGCCTTCAGAGACACTTGTGATGCGTTTCGAGTTCAGAGGAAATCCGAGCAGCTTCTGAAGCCCCGAGGTCCCTCCCAGGCTGGACGTCCCAGCTGCCACACTGACGGCTTCCTACACTCTCACACCAAAGGTGCCTTTTGACAACCCTCCACCCCAATAAATACTCATATATACATTAAATGTCATAAAATTACAAATCCAACTACAGCATTAGGCTATGCAGGTGAAGTCCTCTTATCAGGGGCATTAATTTGACATTTGGTGACACCCAGAAAAAGCCTTGCAAATTATGGGCTTATGCAGTCATACTTCCTCATTAAAGCCTGCGGAGAAATGCTGCACGAGTGTGGATCTGGTCATGCTTAAGGCACTGATTTCTCGCAGTCTAAGAGGATCCACATTGCTAACAAGATATATACCTGCTATATAAACAGCTTGTCAGGGTCAAATGGATAGCAAAGACAAAAATAAACATCTACAAAGTAAATGATCATTCTGTATGTACACATTGTTAAATCTGCTGTTCCATGTTGGTGATTGGGAGCAAATTCATTAAATCTATTCATACATGGGGAAAAACAGAGAGAGAGAGAGAGAATTAAGGATATAGAGCCTGGCCATCTGCAAACATAAAAAGCCAGAAGATGCCACATCAATCAGTGTTGGAAAGAAAGTGGACCTCAATTGCTTCTGCGGCTATTATAAAACAACCTGAATCTGATATGCAAATGCATAATTTCTAACCTAACATCTCTGCAGTGATACAGAATCTATTTGGATTAATCTTGGATTCTGACCATACGAGTCTCAAAAAGGCAATTAAAGGAGACAGGACAGCAGTCACCAGTTGCAGGCGGATCTGAGAGGTCCTGCTACCCCCCAGCTGCCACTTGACAGTGTGTCACGGGTCTGTAAGCTCACGACCTCCTTTGAAAGGATGAGAGCGTCATTGTGGACGCTCGCTGTTTTCCGTGCAATTTGGCAGCTGCACGTTCTGGCGAATTTCAATGTTCCTTGGTGACCAGAGGCCCACCCTACCGCTCACTCGGTGCTAAAATATCAAATTTTACCACCCCGAGCCAAGCCTCTGACATTTTGTTTGAAAATCTAGAAAATACCGGATTACTGATGCTGTTTTTTTTTTTTTTGTTTCGTTAATTATTTTTTCCCACTCATTACAGCCACGGAATGAAACCACTCCTCCTAGTCCTGATTATCTGATTGTTCAAAGCTAAGATTGCTGCGGGACCAACGCCTCCGAAGGCCGGGAAGTCTGTGGGCGATTCTCCACAGCAACTCCCTGACGTGGGCTCCTCCGAAGCCGTGATTAAGCCTCCCCTCCCAAGTCAAAGAAACCAGGGCACAATTTTCGGTAATTGGCACACAGATCAGGAACCGCACCTCTAAGGATCTGGGAGATGTAAACAGGGCTGATAGCATGAAGAGCAGCGACGCAGAGAGCGCAAGCAAGCCCCGATCAATACATCCTTAATTGGCATCAGGCTGATCACTTTCTGCATGGAAATTACAGCAGAAATCTTACCTTAGCCAAGCAAAACATGGCTGAAGAGGGACCCTCAAGGACTTGTGTTAACAGCACAACAAAAACCCACAAGACTTCAAGAAGAAATACAAGGGTCTTTTTTTAATCACTTTCAAAGTCAGTCACAGTCATGACAAGTCCTAATGGCACAAGATGACTAAGGGACATCCCATTATGCAATGTACAAAACGTTGGTTTTCTCCAAGTGCTTCAAAACCAAAAGACTTTCCAGGTAATGCCTGAGAACACAAAGCTCTGCGAGGAAGAACCTGCTGGCCCGTGTTAGAGTGGGCTGTCAGTCCCTCGAACGACACGACCGATCTCACCCCTTCCAGGTCACTCCCAGACTGATTCCCAAAACAGTTAGCGAACGCTAGGACCTACATCGGCTGCAGCACTGGGAACGCATACGCAAACAACCACAGAAAGGGCTCTATAAGGGGATTAGGGTGGGATATGGGTGGCAGGTCTCGCGTGGTGGATCAGATTCGAGCCAGGCGCTCGATGACCCGTCTGTAGTCTGCTAGCAGCTCCTGGTAGCTCTTCTCCAGCTCCTGGTGCTGCAGTTCTGTGTCCATCTGGCTGATGTGAGAAGCCAGCTCCTCTGGCCTCAGACACTTCTTCATCTTCACCATTTCTCTCTGGTTTTTCTGTACACACACAAAGCAACACGTCAGTAAGAGGCCTCGGATGTCTGGGGCAGACAGGGAGCATCACTGAGATTAATAATTTAATGAGTAATGCAACGAGGCTATCGCCTAGGGCCCCAGCATGTGTCAGGGACCCGCCCCACCCCGCCCCACCCAGGGAAAAAGGGAATGGTACGTGGTTAGTTAAATCGGAAACACCTGACCGTCCACGCTGATGTCAGCCGAGGGCCCCCAGATAAGTTAACATGCCCCCTGGATGACAGGGAGTCTTATCATCTAACGCTTGGGGGTGTTTATTTGTATGCAGCCTCACACAAGAAGGGTGGAGCGAACTCGTCCGAGTTGCTATGAGAAAGGAGGTGATTTAGTTTAAGTCTTATGGATGCATATACAAGTGCATGAGGCACAGGAGCAAGTAAAGAGGAACCATAACTGATACGGTGCTGCTACAGCACAGGACCAGATGTCCCCGTGCACAGCAGAGACCCTCGCCGCATGTGCACACGCACACATGCATGCACACGCACACATGCATGCACACGCACACATGCATGCACACCCAAAGGGCCAGACAGCATGCAGCTCTGGGAACCTGCATCTAATACTGCACACATGGCCCAGACGAGGGGAGCTCTGCAATCTAACCGCCGCCTCCGTTCCCAGGCCGAGAGTTGCCCCATCTGGTCTCCAGATCTCCTGCCTGTGCTCCTCCCTGTTTCTCGTTCCCGCTTCCATAAACGGGTCCGCGTCGGCGTTTACACTGGGTGAGATGCCGCGTCTCTCTCCCGGCCTCATTTACAATCCCAATCCCATATCCAGACTTCATTACATATCCATGAACGCAAACGACAGAGCGCACATTCAGATCATAAGTATATGATATATCACACACACAAGACATTCAAGAACGACCTCTAAACGGGACTCGAAGAGTCGCGAGGCCTAAATGGACTCCTGCCTGTTGCGAGGCAGCCCTGGGCGTCTTCCCCCTCCCACCCATCCTGGCTGCCACAAAATGGGATTCCTTTCAAAAGCATTGTACAGTAATTTTATAGCATAATGGAAAAAGGCCACAGGTAAATACAAGTTGGGGTAGGGGGCCGCAAATGGACGGCAGGCGGGACGCGCTTCGAGGAAGCAAGCGGGCGGCCTAATGAAACTTCAAAAGACCCGTAATGATGCTGGAACGAAGCTTCCCGCGGCCATTAAGTCCCACCCCCCGTTTGATTTTCTTAAAGCAGGTGCGCGTGTGCAAAGCAGCACCGCGTTCCCGGAGAGCGACCCCGGTAAACGACATGCAAATTCGCTGGACACTTCTTCGTCGCCACGGGGATCCGGCGATGGGCACCACACGAAATTTGTGGAGATCCCAGTTAGCACTGAGAGCCGGTTTACTGCTCCGTGTATGCGGGGCCTATGCGGACGGGCAGAGCGTCGGCGGACGGTAATGGCCTCCAACATTGCAGTGGGAGAGATCTCAGCCGCAGGACATGCAGCGAATCCGCGAAGTCGACCGCCGCCTCAGCGCAACGCTGGAGAAGTTATGCTCAGAACCTGCGATCCTCTGTAATCATCACGCACATTACTGAGGCTTTAGCCAGACACCTGGCTTTACACTGGCCTTACGGTTTCAGAGTGTCTTCCGAAACGCAGGGTGGTTCATACCAAAACACAACCAAAACAGGCTTTTGATGTGCATGAGCATGTGAACCAGGGTTGGGGCCGTTCCGGAATGCATGCATCGATTCCAATCCAAATCAGGAAATGGAACTGGAGCTGGGATTGGAAAAAATACTATGGGGAACAGAACTGGAGCTGAATTTGAATTTCAGGGCAATTTAATGGAACTCTAGTTCCATTGCCTGATTTGGATTGTAATCGACGAGTGCATTACAGAATGGCCCCAACCCTGGTGTGTACAGTCGACATCACGCTCGTTGAGTTATGCACACACCCTGCCCACTTAAACGCAACTAATGGGATTTAAAAATCCAGGACTGTCCGTTCATTCGGTGTTCATGCTCTGTAACCTTGTGTGGAAGCCCATTTCTCAATTTAGGGGAGTAATAGATTTTTTAAAACCCTTTTCGTATTAATATTGACGACTCAGAATGTAGGACACACAAATGATTATTAAACTGTTCAACTTCAACACACACAGGTGAGCTGCTTGAACTCTCCTGCCCCCCCCCGCTTAAGTCCAGCAAACACACCTTGTAGGGCCCAAACAATCTCCGTTTGACCTCCAGCCGGTATGACTTCGCCTTCTCCTCGTCGCTCATGTCCGTCACTCGCAGGCGCAGGATCTCATACACGCGCCTGGCATGTTTCTGAGGCGACAGGGGATGAACGCATCAGAACCCGTGACGTGCATCTGTGATCTTTTTTTTAATGGGGCGGAAAGAAACTTAAATCGAAAAATACGAATGAAACAAAATTTCCAAGTTTTACTTTAGAGTTTCATCGACCAAACGCTGCAACAATCCCACGAGTAATCAGCACTGTTATCCACAGGCAGTAAAGAGAATTAACTTAATTGCTTCCCTATAAGGAGGCTTAATGAACAAGTCAAAATAGAGGCGCTCACTCAGGAAAGGGGCCTCTGCTGTAGGCAAGACTCAGGTGCTGCGGATGCAACTGATCAGTGACTCCAAACGGCCGACTGCAGCAGTGCTGTGGGGTTTGTGTGCGTGCGTGCTCACCTTGTTTATCTTCAGCTTCTCGCGGGCCTCCGTCGCCATGGCGTCACTGAAACCCTGGCTCAGCTGCTCCGGGGCAAAGGATGACAGCGGCTGGCAGAGCTTGACCAACACAAAGTCTCTCAGCTTCACGTAGCTCTCGGAGGGATCTTCCGCTGAAACCAGAAGCACCGCCGCCATTTTTATTACGCACCGTAACGACCCCCCCAATAGTATATTAAAAATAGTCTCAGAATTGCGCCTTGAAGTTGGCCGTGTAGTGAGATTTATACACTCCTACAGCACCAGTGCAGGGATATGACTGGAGAAACAGGTGGAACGCTTGCGGCTGCCCAGAATACTAGAGATTCCCACGCTTGGGTGACTGGAGCAGTGTGGCTGTAAGGCCGGGAACGGCAGGCATTGGGGGGGTTAATTCCACATCAGACGGCCTGCCTTCAGGGCTGTAATTCTGCCCCCTCCCCATGACCCCCTTCACCCTAAAAGTACTCGCCTGCTTTCCTTCCTCACCCGGGAGAGATGGTCGGCCGTCTGCAGCGAATGCGGATATGCGCTGGCTGCGTTTTTAAAAGCAGGAGATTCCACTGGCTGAAGGTGTACGATCTGCACAGATGACCCCTAATAGTGCATTAGCAGGTGTAACTGGTTTCTAGAGGGAGGGATTTGGTTTTATGAATGAATGAATGTATATTCCCCTGGAAAACTACCCATGAACCATTTCTGTGTTGTGCATTGGACCTTCTAGGCTTTGGTCTTTGCCGGGACGCAGTGGGGGGGTGGGGTAGGAATGTGTCCCACCTGTGATGTCCTGCACCAGCGGAGACGTGCAGTAGAAGCGGTGCACCGCCTCCAGCAGCTGTGCCCCGTGACCTTCTCCCTGGAATGGGGGCAGCACCAGCATCTGGCTGCGTGGCAGAGCGGTGGGGGTGGGGCGCAGCGCGTGGGAATGAAAAAGCAGAGTTAGCGGGCTTTCGAACGGTCATCAGCACTACATACCATCAGCTGGGGCTCGATCGCTGTTAGAGACACACAGTAAACACAAAACAGCCCAAAATCCTGATTGACAAAAACAAGTACCGGCCCTTTAAATCCCAATAACCCACTGGCAATGCTCATCTAACCATTAAACAAGTAACAAACCCATGATCCCTCTGTTCCACACTCAGACTCTTAATGAATAATGATCGATTAATACGATCACTGTCCTCATAATGATAGTTTTTTTTTATTATGCCCATCAATGCTTTTTTATCACAATTTTCCAAACTACTCAGACTTTGTGAGATGGCAGTGAGAACCGGGTTTACAGACACACAAGCCGGTAATTTGGGACAGCGGAGAAGGAGACGGAGATGTATAATTCCGCCCCCCCCCCCAAACTCGGCAAAGAAAAGGAGGGCTTATTCAAGCCCAGCAATTACCTTACGCGTGGCCGGGTTTTGTCTGGGTACACGTAGTAATTATACACTGTCATGTAGGCAGCGGTGGCGTAGAGGGTCTCTCCGTCCTTATTGTACTTCTCGAATCTGTGGACAGAACGTACAGACGAGCAGGTCAATCGCGGCCTCGTCTCCGGCGCCGGCGCACGGCAGCGGGCCGCCCTGTAGGTACACCTGCCGCAAGCTGAATGTATAATGTACTTAATTGGAGCCCAGCAACTTAGGCTGGGGTGGGGGGGGGGGATGGGGGTCCGACCTCTTTACATCACTTCAGTCCATTTGCCCATTGTGGGCCTGAATAGAGACCAAGCCAAAGGAAACAGCGGCAGAAGCACTTTTTACTGTTTAAGCTCCATTCAGCCTTTCAAAAGACAACAGCATTCAATTCAACTCTTGGCCTGGAAAAATAAGGGGGAAAAGAAGGGGGGGGACAAAGGAAGCTCTCGGCAGATCGACAATGCCCCCGCCGTCGAGGGGGGACGTGTAATTAACCGGGCCTGCTAATTGGTGGCAGGGTGAACAAAAGGGGGCGCCGGGCTACGGCGAGAGGACGGGGAGGGGGGGCCTCACACGAGGAAGTAGGTCCAGCGCTCGTCGTCCACGTCGATGAAGCTGGCCGTCTCGATGAACCACATGAGGAAGGTCTGCAGGCGCGCGTGGTATTCCCGGAAGCCAGGGCACGCCATGTCCGCCTGGGGAGGCGGGTGGGGGGGTTAACGTCGGCCAGATCGGCAGCTGCCCGTGCATGCAGCATCCGGCCCCGCAGAGACGGCCCCACCTTGTAGATCTGGTAGGTGATATCCTCTCCGTCCTCCCCACCGTGCACCGTGTACGTGTGCAGCAGACTCCCAAACGGCCTGAAGTTGGCCTCCTTCTCCAATAGCGCCACAAAGTCATCCGTGTTGCTGGTGAAGCCCGGGGGGATGATCTCACGGATCTTGCCTTCCACGTTGTCGGGCTGGGGTGGGGGAGGGGAGGGGGGTGCGCGTCACAGCCGTGTTAGCAGAGAGCAGGGGTGACTGCGTGGCAACGCCATGGTGACTCTACTGGGCAACGTCTCTACCAGGCTTCGGCATGCGGGGAAGGTGCAGGACAAACGGGAGATGCTGTTTAAACCTCTCTGCAGGTTTGCACTTTATTTGCCAGGGAAAAAAAACAATAAAACCTACAGAAAAAGAAGCCGGCTGTAATCCCATAACCGCTTACGGACAAATGGGTTCAAACGCTCCTTTACTGACAGGTATATCCTTGCCATTGTAACATTCCCTGCACGTAATCAATGAGAACGCATAGTGAAGAAGCTGCTGTTGTTCATCCATTAGGGTACACTCCAGGCGTGACTGACGGACGGCACGTGGAATTAGGACAGGAGAATGCATTCCCCGTGCCTCAGAAAGACAGGCCATTAGGCTATTAGGACTGTCGGCTGAACAGAGCCGACCCCCCCCCCCCGCCCAGTACTGAAGGCCACTTAATTGAATACATTTACTACTTATCTTAAACCATGAATATGTGATGAAGCCCCCACGATTGCGTATTTATGCTTCTCACCAGGCAATAAAATTTAATGAATTAATCTGGATTTAACAAAACAGCCCCCCAAGCATGAATACAAGCCCATCGTCTCTAATCCTCGCCCACAGATTCAATCGAGTGACTTGGGGGGGGGTTGGGTGCCACAATGGGGCCTCATTCCGTGGATTTCTCCCAGGCGGAGGGAGCTCGACCGGCCTGTTTGCATTGTATCCATTTCCACGAGGGCCTGCATGAGGACACTCGGCATTTAGGTGCTAAGCTGCCCTTTCATGCCGTCCCGCGCCTCGCGATGGTCGCCGGGCTCCACGCAGCCCCGCATTCAAAACAGGGAAATTAAGACGAGCCCCGGACAAAATACACCACAAAAAGCCAATGTGCTGCACTGCTAATCCCCCACACCCCCCCCGCCCCTTCTCAGGCATCACCTAAATGTTCGGCTGGCAGAAATGCACCTGCGGCAGAATGGCTCGTCAAATTTTTTTTGGGGGGGGGGTCTGTAGGCCGGGGACAAGCGGGCAGCATCATCTGTGGGCCCCAGTGTGAGTTCCTTAAGTTTTATTTCAAAAGGAGGCTTCTGTGTCTTTAGGTGTGGATCTAAATTGCATTTAGGGGGCTTGTTGTGTTTGAGTAGCACCACCGGGATGCACTCGGGGGGGGGGGGGGCACCGTGTTCGTTAGTGAAAACGATCTTAACGGGAGCAGAAAGTAAGCCTGGGAGAATTGGGGCTTGATCGAGCTCTGCAAGAACGCTAAGGCGATTTATTATGGGGAAACGGGGCACTCTAATAAAAATGAATGGATCTGATCCCCCATCTATGTCTGCGGTGTACTTTGTACCTTTTATCCCTACGGGCAGCTACATGACACCATTAACAAACTAAAAGCAAAAACATACAGATCTACAATTTGCATTCATCACAGCGATAGAGCACTCAGAACTCCAAGCTGCAGGCCCGCATTTAACTGGAATGACCATAGAAATAAAATTAAATAGCCAATGGCTTTGACATCCAAAGGGGCTCTTCAGCATTTTATTGAATTACTTTTAATAATTTTTTGCTCCAGGAACAACCCAAGCATCCAAACCTAAATATTCACAGGGTTTTGTAAGAAAATGGGCTTACCTACTGCAGGAGGAACTCCCTACACAAAGACGCTAAAAAAGACCCACAAAGGTCTCACAAAAATAAATAAATAATAATTAAGGTCTACAATGAATAAAATAGTCAGAACTCAAAGCATCAGGGCTCTTGGAAAAAGTGTAAAGCAGACAAGCAAAAAAAAAACTACTACTATTAAAGATAAACAAAAACATTAATAAATCCTAAGCTGAAACTCAAACTCCTTTTTGTGGGTGCCAAAGAACAGGTGACTTCTGAGCAAGGTTAACAATAACCCACGCTGCAGGGGGCGCTATTGCACTCATAGAAAATAAAACTGAGCCAAATGTGCCGGAAGGCGGACCTGCGAATGAGATACACTGGTGGCCCCCCCCCCGCTGACTGTGCTGCACAGGCACTCAGCCGGGTGACTAATCTCCCAGCGCTCATGGGGAGCGTGAAAAGCTTGCTCCTTCAAAGCTGGGACAAAGGGGGGGAGGTTTAGCTTCCCCTTCCCAGGGGGCACATCGGCCTGATGGAACATGAGATCCTTCACATCGCTGCTGTGTGTGGGGAGGTGGGGGGGCAAACACCATGCAAGCCCGAAGACGGTGGCCCAAACCCACACGCAGCATTAAGGAGAAGCTTGCCTGACATCTCCACAACCAATCAAACATTCCCATGCACATCACCAATCACCAATCACTGCCCGCTTTCACTGCCGTCTTCTTACCTCCACGCAGTCAAACTTCTCAGACACCTTCGATGTATATTTTACTTTGAAGAGTGTGTTCAAGTTTCCTGCGGTGTAGTACAACTGAATCTGAAGACCTTTATAGCCAAATGCCACTTCACTGTAATAAAACAGAAATACACAGATTTCAGGATAAAAATAGACTTAGGGGTTGCATTTATGTAATACTGTTTAAGTACCATATCCAGCTCTTTGAATTCAATTTTGGAACAGCTGCCGATGCTTTTTAAAACTAATTCAATGGAATTAGTAAGAGGGAGAAAATGAATTAATGAATTCTGCTATGACTATGGCTAGAATACTGCTTTCCTAATGTCAGATGTAACCAGTTTTCTCTGCCCCAAGTCAAACACCATCCCCTCAAAGGTCCACATAGATGTAAAATAGACTTGTATAAAGATTAATCGCAAGATGAGTCAGGAGACAGTTCAGGGTTGTACAGCAAGGATGCTGAGCTCTGTTTTCAGTGTAACACATTACAGTAGTGTTTTCCAATCCGGTCCTCAGGGACCTGGAGCCGGGCCACATTTTTGCTCCCTCCGAGCCCCCTGCCAGACACCGGGAGGTGGGAGGGAGCAAAAACATGGACCATTTGTGGGTTTCCGACGACCGGATTGGGAAACACTGCATTACAGGAACTGCAAATTGTCAACTCATGTCTGTCAACCCTTCACTCTAAAATCTGAATTAAATACGGAACCAACAGACTAAGAATCGTTTGCAGTCATAATACTAACTAACAGCAGATGGAGATTTCAGGTCCAGAGAGTACAAATCCAGACCAAGATTTTCAACCAACCAGTTGAGTACTGTGACTATGACTCTTTATGCTCAACTGGTTGGTTGAAAATCTTGCTCTGGATTTGTACCCTCTGGACCTGAAATCTCCACCTCTGGGAACCATACAAGTTAGATAAGTGTCTTCAGCAGAAAGTTCTGCCAAAGGATCTATGAGCTTTTGAGTTTCTGACGTGACCAAAATCAGAGAAAAATGTGAGCGTGGTACTGCCCCAGGTGAGAGGGCAGTGGGATCCCAGTGACAGAACATACTCATCTCCATACAGCTGGTGACTATACTCAGGGTGGAACGTTGTGCTTTCATCTTCCACATCCTCTGGGAAACGCACTGCAGAGAGGCGGAGTTAGGGAGTGAAATACTCTATGTGATTTTGAACAATGTGATACGTAATTAAGACTTAAGAAAAGTCTTAAGTCTTAAGAAAAAAACACTTGTAGACACTCCTGTTAAAATAGTCCTATCATTCATTTTCCTCACAACCCAGCAACATGCCAGACATCTGATAAAAATGCAAAACTCAGACGGAAGTCTGCATACCAAGTTTCAGACATATCGCTTCATTTGTGTCACATTTGTATTCTGCCAATTTCTTCTCCATCGCATTCATCCCTGAAATGTAGCAAAAGACTGAATGTTAATCTTGCAATTTATATGTATTTCAACAGTTTTTGTTTTTGATAAATATTCATGCAGTAGTTTGAAGAGAATCAAAGTTAGTCTGAATAAAATCACAAGCAAGCCATCTGGGAGATGATAATCTCTTTCAGTCTAGCAGATCTATATGAGTAACAGTGGCAAAAAAAACGGCAGATTCACACAATATTCACAAGTTTAATATTTTATATTATCCAGCTCTTTCTGCCACTAATTCTTGTTCACCCAGCTGGATAAAACGAGTCCAGAACCTTAAAAAAAGGTAAGCACCCGCTTATTCCCTAATATGCAGTTACTGGCATTACAATTAAAAAAAAAAAAACATTATTAGACGTCACTATCAAAGCGCCCTGTTAAAGTATCAGCATTAAAAATCTATTTAATGCACTGTCGGTATTTCCTATTAGACAGCAATATAAAACAACACGTGACGACGGATGAATCCGCTCGTTCTTAATTTTAGTATATAAGTTTACACGTCAGAGGGCGTGGTCTCAGAGCGTGGCACCGTCAACAGACTAAGAATCGTTTGCAGTCATAATACTAACAGCAGGATGAAACAACGTAACAGTAATAATGCATCGTAATATTTAAAAAAAAAGTCACCAAAAAGAATTTTAGAAATTATGTTTTTTTTTGTTCGAATGGACAACTATTTGTCCATTTTGGCAGATTTTGTCAACCATCCTACGAAATATAAGGAAGCTTTTTGATATACATGCTGCTTAAGCGGCAAAGGTAACAGATAGCCAGACATTTACATTCAAAGAAACAGTACAGTGGATTCGCTTTCATTTTTGAGGTCTGTAATTTAAAGGTCTGTAGCGGCTTCTGTGATGCCAGCTAACTGGCTAGCTACGTAGCCATCACTGCATCACACCAAGACCATATAAAACCCAAAACTAACCTAAAACCCTTTAGCTGGAAAATAATATACATACAGCAATCTACAACGATAACGTACTGCAAACATGAGGAGAAAACTGGCAAAAGTATTTTAGCCGAAATTAAAGTTTTTTTCTCATCAGTATAACTTACCCGCCATTTCGCTAGACTGCAGACGGGAAGCGACACAAACCGCGCGGCGTAGTTTACTTCCTATTTACTCACGTGTTTCCGTTTGCTGCCTACGTCTACCGTAAATTCCCATCAAATGCGCAACACTGGTTTATTATACTATCCACAGCACTTGTGCCTGGGCTAGAAAAATCTAGCGAATATGTGACCCCTTGAAAGATTTAACTGAAACTTTAAATTGTCCACAGTGTATTTATTGCCATTTATAATATTATATATCATTAAATATGGTATTAAAAAATACTTTGCTGCTGTGTAATACACTACATATAAAGTAATACTATATATACCCCGCGGTAACGGCACTGCGGCTGAGTGACTAGCCCTTGAAGTCCACGTCTCTGTCAACGGCTCTCGCATGTATGCCGCGTGGGTGCTCTGCATTTCCCCCTTCCCTGGGATAAGCGGTTATGGATTGATAGTTTTTGTTTTTTCGACAATAGTACGTGCAGATATAGTAAAAAAATAAACATTTTGAATTCTGTTTTTGTTATTGTATTTGACAAAGCATAACATAAATCAGACATTGAACGGTATTAGTGTCACAACTGGATAATGTAGTCTAAATGTGAATACGTATATTTATTATTATTATTATTATTATTATTATTATTATTATTTGCAGTTATCAGGGTTTTAGTGATTATTTAAAACAATATTTAAAACACTTATGACAAGAACAACAACAAAGGAAAAAGGATGCATTTTAATTCTTTAATTGCGTACGTCTGATATATTGCTTAAAATGCATGCCATGCAAACAGTCTGGTCATAAAGGAATCAGAGGGGTGCCAGTTTCCCTATTAATGAAAAACAACACTGAAATTTTTTTTTTTTTTTAATTCTTTATTTCAAATAGGTGTAGGACACAAGCTAACAAACACAAGATGTCTCAATCAAATTCACAGGCCTATATTCAACTCCATTCCGCCCCTGTCAACAGTTTTGGAAACTAATTATTTGTGGAATCCTCCCACGAGTCAAACAATTACACAATTACCGATGGCAATGTAATCAGTAATCAAGCTTACAGAAAACAAAGTAAACAGTTGAGTGTAGGGCCCTTACAAGTATCATACAAACACTCAAACATTCAGTGAAAGCGGAATTTCTAGAAAGTATTGATTATTTACACAAATACTTTCTGTCTGCACTTTCCACGAGAGGTTCAGATGCTTGTGTTTCACCTGACAGTCATTTCTTCTGCATGAACTGTTTACATCGGAGCTCTGTGACTTGTTTTGTCAAGGGCCTGATGCCGGGACTGCAGAGATACCTGGGAATAATCCTCTCAGACCCATTATTTTGCTGTTACTTTTTCTGTAACATGACGTAATGCATGACCTTGCATTCAGGCAGGATATAGATATTCTGAGCAAACTCACCAGGTGTCTCAACTGAACACTTCTCTAGCAGACACTTGCTGTAGCTTAACAAGTAAAACATTGTGCAAACATATGATTGGCTGGCAATTGGCATATATGTGTATGTGCCTTGTGATTGGTTGGCAGTTGCCCATTATGTATATATGTGTGCGTCTTGTGATTGGCTGGCAAAAAGAAATGGTCATGAGATCATATCCAGTAAGCACACATAAACTGTACCCTTCCTTCTACTGCAAGTCACTTTGGATACAAGTGTCAGATAGATGTATACAATCAAACTTACATGTACTATTTGATGTTACTTGTAGACTGGTAATTCATATTATAGTTAAAATGTATACTGATAATGCTACATTTACTTATAGAGAATTGAGAGCAAATTTCATATACTTTAATCTTTCATTGCATCTTTTCTGACACTGATAATTCTTCATTGATTTAAATTATCTGTTACCAATATGTCTGTTGCAGTTCCTGGATGCAATATTACTGAATGTCATAATGATGACTAGGTGTGCGATGGTAGTTTATATATTTGGAATATTGGTTTTATCTCAACAGATGTAACAAGGTCAGCGTAGTAGCTAGATATTTACTGAGGAAAGCATTCAGGGATAATCTCTTGTCAAATTTAGCCCTAAAAGTAAAGGTTTGCTGTCTGTTACTTCACATTGACGCCATTGTGAATAAAGCAGTTAACCCTAAAAAAAATTTAAAAAGGTTTTTTTTTTTTTTTCTAGAGAGTGAAAGCTCAATAAAAATAAATGACTCTGTAGTATGGAAGGCATGGCAGGAGCACTGAACTGTGCAAAAATGCTGTCATTATCCCTGCCACAGCAGCCTATCCAACAGATGCACCTATGTCTGACTTACACAATAATCCTTAACTCTGGATAATTTTACCTCTGCCCCTGCGACGGCACTAGATTATACCTTTTCTGAGTGCAATGTCTTCTGGCCTCTCACCGTGTTTATTGGCACTCTGACTGCGGGCAGTGGAACACATGCAGTTTGACTTCTGAACCTTCAAGAAATGCCACTAGATTTGTAGCTTTGTTCATCCGCTGATCACTTAGCCTATATTTTCTGGACAAGACAGCTACGTTTTTTTACCCCTGCCATTAATTATACGCTTCGAACTGACACTTTGTAAAAAAAAAAAAAATCAGTTATCCTCCCTCTCGTGGGATATACGCAGTATCTATTACTTTTACTTTTATATTATTTGTGAATATTAAGCTTGCAGGAGCATCAAACTCAATTCACTACAATTCACTGAGATGTCACTTGTATCACTTTTAGTGCACTGAGAAGAGACCGGTGTGATGCACCGATGCGGACTTTCAGTACGAAGACTGACGCTTCTCGGACGGGCAGGTACGGGCTTGAGGCATCTCCCGCTAACCGGGATATTAACTTTCCCAGTCGCAGTGCGATTGCGCGGCACGTCACTCCCAGCATGGCGGCCAAGGTGACTCCGACGCCTCTGAGTTTATCCCTCTTGCTTAAATTTCTCTATTTTTTTAAAGCCTTTTGTTAAGTGAGTGGCGGTGTGTTAAGACATTCGTATTAAATGAATCGGATTGTTAAAAGTGCACTGTAAGTGGCAGGTATCATTTCTGCGTTTACGGCCGGCTAAGTTAACTGGCCTTGGAGTCAGTTGCACGCTGTTAATTGTAACGTTTTTTTTAGTTAGCTGCTTACTCTGAAAATCTGTTGATATTCAGAATAGTTACATTGTCATTCCTGATCGTGTGCTGGTTACTTTGTTAATGACCCCGTTTTTAATAGCTGTATGTTGTCTGTGACTTTTTTGAATTTCCTATTGATTTCATTGACTTCCTTGAAGGCAACTTGTTCTCTTTCATCTTTCACGTTCGTAGTTTGATAGGAAGTTTATCTGATGATATTGGCAGCGCGTTTCTTTTAGCTTGTCCGGTAATCTGTCTTTTATGTGCTGGTTTCTTTCCTGTAAAGGGTGGTAAATGCAGTAAATCGCTGCTACTGTGGATTGTTATCTTCTGTCCTGTGTAATTTACTTTGCCATTCATAAACGCGTGCGATCATTTCCCCCCCATATCATCACAAATATCCCTCTCTCATTAAAACCCCTCTTTGCGGTGCTTTGCCTAGGTGCAGTCGACCAGAAGAGCCGATCCTAATGAACTGAAGACTATCTTCTTGAAGGTAAACTATTTCGATCGCATTAAGGCAATATAATTTGTTATTTATCTTAATTGCTTTAACTTAATCTTCAGAATTAACTCCGGTCTGCGTCGATGATAACTTCCTGCTTGGGCTGTTAAGATGTCTGAAGGGTGTTTAAAGGTCGATATCGTTATTTGGCCGCTCCGTATAAATGATTCGTTTTCGGTACTTTATCAATGTAGTTCTCCGTGAAAGCTAATATACGTCATATATTTGCTTTATTCACTATGTAATCGCCTAGATAATCTGACATTGAAAATGCATGATGCTGGTATTTCTTTAAATGTGTCATTATAGTTGTCATTCTAAACCCACTGTCATTGACTCTCCCAATGACTATACTCAAAAATAATAGTATGGAATAGTATATATATATATTAATACTTCTGTTCCTTCTTTCACACAGTCCAGGGCCAGGCCATCGGTTTGACTGTGAATTTTCTTGTGACCTGAATGACATGTAGTTGGGGTCTCGTCTTAGTCACCACTGAGAGTTTTGTTGGTTGTGGAGGACTGTCCACTCGTATCTATGAAGAGAGTAGAAGGCTGCCTGAGTGTCTCGTGTAGCTCGTGTCCATTGTGTGAGTGAAAAGGTCAGACTCGCGGCTGGGCTAATTCCGGACCCGGAGATTCTCCTCGTGATTTATTTTAGACGCTGACATTTGCGTGGTCTTTGGAGATGTGCTGCCGGAGTGTGCCCGCCGCGTCGTGCTTCTGCTGTGTCGGCTTGCCGTGTGTGTGTCACTGGTGTCATGGCCGCTATGCAGGGAGTACCGTGGCCTCCGTCTGACTTTATGTGGTGTGTGTGTGTGTGTGTGTGTGTGTGTGTGTGTGTGTGTGTGTCACTGGTGTCATGGCCGCTATGCAGGGAGTACCGTGGCCTCCGTCTGACTTTATGTGGTGTGTGTGTGTGTGTGTGTGTGTAAGTGAGTGAGTTTTTATGTTCCCCACATTTCTTCCTGTACCTAAAAAATGTGTGTAGGTGAATCAGTATCTCTAAATTGCCCATTTTGTTTGTGTGTGTGTGTGCGTGTGTGCATGTGCACGCGCACATGCATGTGCCATCTGATTGGCTGCCAATTGTGTATATATGTGTGTGTGCGCCTTGTGATTGGTTGGGAGTTGCCCATCATGTATATATGTGTGTGCGCCTTGTCATTGACTGGCAATTGCCCATCGTCTGTATACGTATGTGCGGCTTGTGATTGACTAGCAAATGCCCATCGTCTATAAATGTGTGCGGCTTGTGATTGGCTGGCAATTGCCCATCGTCTGTATATGTATGTGCGGCTTGTGATTGGCTGGCAATTGCCCATCGTCTGTATATGTATGTGCGGCTTGTGATTGGCTGGCAATTTCTCATGATCTGTACATGTGTTGCGGCTTGTGATTGGCTGGCAATTGCCCATCGTTTATATATGTATGTATGTATGTATGTGTTGTAATTGGCTGACAGTTTCCCATCATCTGTATTCGTGTGTGTGGCTTG